GAGACAAAACACACAGGATGGGGCTTTACTACAAGGACTGCAGAAGCAGGACAATTTATAATGAGCAAGGCTAAGTCCAACTATACTAGAGACAAAACACACAATATGGTGCTTTACTACAAGGACTGCAGAAGCAGGACAATTATATTGAGCAAGGCTAGGTCCAACTATACTAGAGACAAAACACACAGGATGGGGCTTTACTACAAGGACTTCAGAAGCAGGACACTTATAATGAGCAAGGCTAGGTCCAACTATACTAGAGACAAAACACACAGGATGGGGCTTTACTACAAGGACTGCAGAAGCAGGACAATTATAATGAGCAAGGCTAAGTCCAACTATACTAAAGACAAAGAACACAGGATGGAGCTTTACTACAAGGATTAAGAGACTGCAGCAGGACAATTATAATGAGCAAGCCTAGGTCCAACTATACTGGAGACAAAGAACATAGGCTGGGGTATTCAGAGACTAGGCAGCGGGCCAATTATAACGAGCAAGGCTAGGTACAACTATACTAGAGACAAAGAACATAGGCTGGGGCTTTAGTTCATGGACTAAGAGACTGCAGCAGCAGGGCAATTCAAATTGGCAAGGCTATGTACAACTTTACTAGAGACAATGAACATAGGCTGGGGCTTTACTACAAGGATAAAGAGACTGCTGAAACAGGGCAATTATAATGAGCAAGGCTAGGTCCAACTATACCAGAGACAAAGAACACAGACTGGGGCTTTACTACAAGGATTAAGAGACTGCTGCAGCAGGGCAGTTATAATGAGCAAGGTGTGGCCCAACTACTAAACCAAAAAGTGCAAGCTGGGGCTTTACTACAAGAATTAAGATACTACAAAGGTTTCAAACGTGTAAAACTGGCCAGCAAAAGGACAATTAGGGATAGTAGGCCTAACTGGTGTATTCCTAACTTTCATTTTATCTATGGGGATGTGGTGAATGTGAGTGATATAATGTCAGGTGGTTTAGGCGCACACTGTTCTTGAACTTTTTCTTTCAAATGATACAACGGCGTGACCAAAACCAAATGTTGCACTTCAAGCACCCATAGCTTTATAAGAAGGTCCTATCAGCATAAAATAAACAATAAAAACACACAAACACAAAAACTCCTTTCTTTATCTTTTCCCTCCTTCCTTTGTATCCAGTGATATTCTGTATTAGTGGAAAGGGAGGCACCCAGGGGAACAGTTGCAGTGGGTGTTGTTTTGCAGTTAGTTTTGAGGTGGGGCCAGGCTGCAGGTGACAAGTACAAGAAGGCTGAGGGAGAGCTGACACATTGCCTACGGCCACACCACCCTGAATGCGCCCGCTCTCATATGATCTCAGAAGCTAAGCAGGGTCGGGCCTGGTTAGTACTTGGATGGGAGACTGCCTGGGAATACCAGGTGCTGTAGGCTTTTGCCTTTTCCTCCAGTAGAAAGGGTCACTCTCCTCTATGGCTTTTCCCATGTGCTTGTTTTTTTTTGAGACCAGCGCTCCGCAAGCCCTGCTGTGCACCTGGGCGCTTTGAAGGATCACCCCCTCCGCCCTCCCCTTTTCTTCGCCCGCTTCCCCTCTGCTTCACCCCACTTTTCAAAAATCATTTTCTCTCTTTTTCTTTCCCTCCAGGAGCTTGCCGCCCCATTCTGCAACCTCCTCCTCCTGTGCCACAGCAGCAGTGCAGGAAATCAGGCCGCCCAGCTAGCCTCAGCCTACGTCCCTCTCCCTCCCTCATCCCTCGCCGCTTGCCGGCGCTCTCCTCAGCCCCCTCGGCTGCCCAACCCTGCCGTAGAACCAAGTGGCTCTGCGGCGCTGCTTGGGCTGGAGAAGAAAGCGCCGCCAGGACAGGCAGGGGTGATCAAAGCCCAGCAAGAGGCCACGGGGCCCAGGGCCCGATCTGGTTATAACCGCTGTAAAGGGATCTCTGTTCTATATAAGTGGTTGGATATATAGACAATGACAGCGGTTACGGCATCACACGGGACCGCATTCCCTACACTCTATGATAGATGATTACTGTACATTCATATTAAGTGTTCTTGACACATCTTGAGACTTCAATACACTAAGAGATCAGCGATAATCCCGCAGTGTAAACAAATTGGCATTATAATAATTAACACGGAAACCAAATATTGATCGCTGTCTCATTGAGAGTCTCGTAACAAAACAGAATCTCAGACGATCGAACTGAAGAAAGCATTTTATTCCAAAGTAGAAAGGAATGAGATACAAGATTAGGATGAAACTTGCGGAAACTGTATAAAGGCCTAAAATACACGAGGGCTTGGTATGAATATTGTACAAGTCGTCTTTGCAGGCCTGCTAGTGGCCGAGCCATTTTACGGAAGCACCTCCATTGTCTGATGAACTACTGCTGTAGACTGTAGGCTCCTTTGGCATAATGTTCCTCCACCATGTTGTGCTTTAGAAGCTTTTTAGCACAAGATATACCATAAAGTCCCAGAAACTGTCGGCTGGTCTTTCTCAGAACCTTCTAGTAAGAGTCCTTCTTAGCAATTTTCTTATGATTAATGGGGAAACTCTAGAGGTGTGACTCCACTGGTGGCTTGGTGTGTCAAATGAGAGCAGAGCAGGTGCAGTAGAGTATGGGTGGATCATCTTTGGCCAGACAGACCATCTCAGGTAAGAGAGAGTAGGTCTATGATATATGACATTAGTATGTGGACACCAGCTCATCACACCTAGCTATATGGCCAAAGTTATATGGAACACCTTCCAAATGTCTGAGTTCAGGAGTTTCCCATGAAGGATACTGTACACACTACAGCATACAAAGACATTGTAGACATTGTGCTCTTCCAACCTTCTGGTAACAGTTTGGTGAAGACCCTTTTCTGTTCTGCCATGACTGTCCCCTGTGCACAAAGCCACCTCCATACAGACATGGTGTGACCAGTTTGGTGAAGACCCTTTTCTGTTCTGCCATGACTGTCCCCATGCACAAAGTCAGCTCCATAAATAAATGGTGTGACCAGTTTGGTGAAGACCCTTTTCTGTTCCACCATGACTGTTCCCTGTGTACAAAACCAGCTCCATAAAGACATGGTGTTACCAGTTTGGTGAAGACCCTTCTCTGTTCCGCCATGACTGTCCCGGTGTACAAAACCAGCTCCATAAAGACATGGTGTGACCAGTTTGGTGAAGACCCTTTTCTGTTCCGCCATGACTGTCCCGGTGTACAAAACCAGCTCCATAAAGACATGGTGTGACCAGTTTGGAGGAACTTTAGTGTCCTACTGAACATCTTCCAAGATGAACTGGAATGCCCATTGTGAGCCAAGTGTTCGGATCCAACTTCAGAGCCTCCAAATGGGCACAAATTCCCCCAGACACGCTCCAAAATCTCGTGGAAAGCCTTTTTAGAAGAGTGGAAGCTGTTATAGCCACAAAGGAGGCCCAACTCAATATTAATGCCCCATGGTTTTGAAATTGGATGTTTAACAAGCTCATATAAGTGGTCATGGTCAGATGTGACCAAACCTTTGGCCGTAGAGTGGCCCAGTCATGAAAACTCATCCTGTTTGGAAGAACAACAGGAAGCTGCAGAGTTGCCACTTGGGCCAAGATGACACGAGTACACTTTAGGCAATGACACTATGCAGTCGTATTGCCCCCTCTATGTGGCCACCATGTTCAGTAAGACTTGACATGCAATAGGAAGGACTACTAATCAATGCAGCGAGCTAATGTTGCTGTCAGAGGAGAAGCTGGACATTCCGTCACCCGGGGCAAAGGCTCAGAGTTGCCCCCCAATGGAGAAGTTCTTCATTCCCACTCCCAATGGCACCCCTCCTAAAGCGGCACCTGGGACACATGTCCTGGTTGCTGGTCATGTGATGTTTGTCGAATGTGTTCCCTAAGCAATGGCAACATTCAGTCTTCTGGCTGCGGCTCGGAAGCTGTTACGGCAGGGGTGCCCACAATTTGTTGTGTTAAGATCTAGTTTTCAAATGACGAGCTACATGAGATCTACCAATGAAAAAAACCCTCCCTCGCTCTCTCTCTCCTGGCGGTCTCTCCTCGCTCTCCTGACTGTCTTTCCTTGCTCTCTCTCTCATGGCTGTCATTCCTTGTGTTCTCTCCTGGCTGTCTCTCTTCGCTCTCCTGGCTGTCTCTCCTAGCTGTCTCTCCTCTCCCTCTTTCCTGTCTGTCTCTCCTTGCTCATCCTCCTGGCTGTCTCTCCTGGCTGTCTCTCTTCGCTCTCTCTCCTAGCTGTCTCTCCTTGCTCATCCTCCTGGCTGTCATTCCTTGTTTTCTCTCCTGGCTGTCTCTCTTCGCTCTCTTGGCTGTCTCTACTTGCTCATCCTCCTGGCTGTCTCTGCTGGCTGTCATTCCTTGTTTTCTCTCTTGGCTCTCTCTCCTGGCTGTCTCTCCTTGCTCATCCTCCTTGCTCTCTCTCTCCTGGCTGTCATTCCTTGTTTTCTCAGCTGGCTGTCTCTCTTCGCTCTCTCTCCTGGCTGTCTCTCTTCGCTCTCTCTCCTTGCTCATCCTCCTGGCTGTCTCTCCTCTCTCTCTCTCTCCTGGCTGTCATTCCTTGTTTTCTCTCCTCTCTGTCTCGCTTCGCTCTCCCGGCTCTCTCTCCTGGCTCACCTTGCTGTATTTTGCTGTGTAAACTAACATTCTTTGATGTAATACATAGAGGCACTACAACCCCCAGTATCCCCCAGAAAGGTGTCGGGGAGCTCGGCTCAGCAGACTCAGACTAATAGGGAATCATGTGTGCACAGCTAAATAAATATACCAGAATGGAATAAAGGGGCCGCCATTCCCCCCCTTCCTGATCTACCAGCATCAGCTCTGAGAGCTACTAGATCACCCTCTACCTAATGGGCACCCCTGTGTCACGGCATAGCGTTGTATTTCGGTACGATGGGCACAGATCTGCCATTATAACGTCTCCGGGTGATATTGTGTTACGAGAATGTATGTGTTGCCCGGTATCACTGAAGGGATTATTCAGCAGAATGCGCCGCAGCTGGCACAGCAGACCCCCCCGATCATGGGATTCCCAGGAAGGACACCCGTAGTCACTGCGTCAGGAGTTTCTGAGCGTTCACCGCGACGGTTCTGAGCTCTTCTGGGGTACAAATAGAAGTCACTGAAGGTAACGCGACTCACGCCGGCCTTTCAGAAATGAGACGTCAGCTCGGAAAATGCCAAAGGAAGGTTGAAGCCTGAGTGCCGGGAGCAGGTCGGGGGGTCTCCGGATCGGGACCAAGCGAGCGTGGTAAGACCTGAGAATGGACAGAGACGCCGCCGAGCGCCAGGGGGGAAACTCTGCCATTTACAGGACAGAAATGTGAACTTCGAACCGTCTGGCAAATAAGAGAGCTGTGAGCAGGCCCGGATTCCCCACAAGGCCACCGAGGCCCGGCCTCGGGGCGGCAGGGCGCAGAGGGGCGGCAGCGGTGTCCTTGTGGGAAAGTTTCCCTTACTACATTCAGTCCTGCTTTGTACAAGCTGAGCTAAATGTAGAGTGAGGGAAGCCGATTTTTCGTTTACATGTGAAATCGACGATGTCGCCGAGATCACATGTAAACAGTGTGCAGCCTCCTCTCCCCTCCCCCCCTCCACTTACCTCTCTCCTTTGGTTCCGTCCTCCTCCGCCGAGTCCCGAGTCTCTGACTGCAGTGAGCAGAGCGGCCGGGTTATAAGTAACCCTGCCGCTCCGTGTAGACTGTATACAGTGAGAGGGGAGAGCTGTGCTGTGCCGTGCCGTGCTCTTCCTCTCTCACCTGTCACAGGAGTTCCAGCACCTGGGTCATGGAGCAATGGGGTCCTGGTGGAAATGGGGTCACGGGGCACTTGGGTCATGGTGGTAATGGGGTCATGGGGCAATGGGGTCCTGGTGAAAATGGGGTCACAGGGCACTTGGGTCATGGTGGTAATGGGGTCCTGGTGGCAATGGGGTCATGGAGCAATGGGGTCCTGGTGGAAATGGGGTGACGGGGCAATTGGGTCATGGTGGCAATAGGGTCCTGGTGGCAATGGGGTCATGGGGTCCTGGTGGAAATGGGGTCATGGGGCACTTGGGTCATGGTGGTAATGGGGTCCTGGTGGCAATGGGATCCTGGTGGGCATGGGGTCATAGAGCAATGGGGTCATGGGACAATGGTGTCATGGGGCAATGGGGTCATGGAGCAATGGGGTCCTGGTGGAAATGGGGTCACGGGGCAATTGGGTCATGGTGGCAATGGGGTCCTGGTGGCAATGGGGTCATGGGGCAATGGGGTCATGGGGCAATGGGGTCATGGTGGCAATGGGGTCATGGTGGCAATGGGGTCCTGGTGGCAATGGGGTCATGGGACAATGGTGTCATGGTGGCAATGGGGGTCATGGTGGCAATGGGGGTCATGGTGGCAATGGGGTCATGGTGGCAAAGTCACCCTCCCCTATCGTGAGAATTGAGGTTGGGGGGGGGTCATCAATGTCAAAGGAAGGAAAGTATTCTCTTGATGGGTAATTCAGAAGGTAGCTGGGATTGGGTAAGTTTTGGGGGCCCAGGGGTCGGGATGATACAATCAGATTGTAATGTGTGTAAGTGGAGAGAAACCTTGGGATGGGTATGAGGGGGGCACAGCTGTTATTGGGCAGAAGGGTCACATGACTCATGACTGTTGGGCAGAAGGGTCACATAAAAGTTACCTGTGATGAGATAAATGAGGAAGTTGTTACATTGTTTTCTTCTTCTTGTCAGTGTGATTTTCAGATGATGTCATCACTGGGTCTCTGAGCTTTCCTATGCAATGCAGGCTGATCATGGCCGGTGGGAGGGGCTGGCTGTACATAGCTTTCTGAAACCATCACAGCACCCTGCCTCAGTACTTCTCTTGAGAGCCCTCAGCCCTGACGCAAGCAGGGGGCCGGTTCTTGGGAGGAGTTATGCAAATGTCGAAATGCCTTGATGGGTGGGGTGTCAGTCTGGAGGAGTGGGCGTTTCTAGTCAGGCTGTATTTGCATAGGTAACGCCCACACGTGATGCTGAGCCGCCATGATTGAGAGAACTGAAATCCAAGTGACTTGCTGCAGCTTCTAATGCACATTGTGAGATGTTACCAGTGTGCGGTGACATCAGAGGGAGGAGGCGGTACAACTGTGCGAGACTGAAGGGAAGGACGGAGGTCAGATAGAAGACTGATCAGATAGAAGACTGAAGGGAAGGCCGGAGGTCAGATAGAAGACTGAAGGGAAGGACGGAGGTCAGATAGAAGACTGAAGGGAAGGCCGGAGGTCAGATAGAAGACTGAAGGGAAGGACGGAGGTCAGATAGAAGACTGAAGGGAAGGATGGAGGTCAGATAGAAGACTGAAGGGAAGGACGGAGGTCAGATAGAAGACTGATCGGCCCCAAAACTGGGAGACAAAACACAGACGAGGAGGAAAGAAGAGAATCGGACACACAGGCGGCTCTCAGCCAATGACAGTCCTTCCTGTGAAGCAGGTAAAGCTCATAGAATTTGACCCAAATTTTAGGTAAAACAAAAACTCTCAATGTTTCTCCTCCCTAATTATAATATTTCAGCATCTTTAAAGGGATATCTCAGAATTAGAAATGCATCGGACCCGATGACGGCTCTCAGCCACTGACAGTCCTCCCTGTAATGGGGATAAATCTAACATTTTGCCCAAATTTTAGGAAAATGACTCAATTCGGATCCTCCCTAATCATGGATTTTTCAACATCTCTAAAGCCTCTGAGAAATGACAGAATTCGATATGCAGTCTGATGATTGGACCCAACGACGGCTACCGGCCTCTGGCAATCCTTCTTCTGAAGGACATAAATCTAATAATTTACCCAAATTTTAGGAAAATTAAGTCCCGGTGTTTTTTCTTCCCTAATCATGAAGTTTTCAGCATCTTTAAAGACGCAGTAAAATAACAGAATTAGATATGCAGCCTGATGATCAGACCCCCAAGGCGGCCATTGGCCAGTGCAGTCCTTCCTGTGAAGGAGATCAAACTTATCAAATTTTTACCTCAATTTTATGAAAAATTCAATTTTTTTTCTCGCTAATCATGAACTTTTCAGCCTCTATAAAGGAGAACTATGTGGTTAACACTTTTCCCCATACTTCTCCTTAGGGTAACGGGAGGACACAAACTAGCGTCCTCCCGTCACCCTAGGCTCAGTAGGGAGCTGCTGCTCGCGGTATACTGAGACGCCGCAGCTGAAGTGGATCCCGACAATTATGTCTGGATAGCCCAGCTGCGTGACTGACAGCTGGCTCTGCCTATCTAGAGACAGAGCCGGCTGTACCCGCCCCCTCCCCCGTCCGATCCGCCAGTCAGCGCTGGAGGATCGGAGCGGGGAGGGGGGAATCCAGCCCCTCCCCCTGTCACGACAGAGAGCTGTGACAGGATCGAGAGGCGAGCGAACGCCGGTATGTGTTCTCTCACCTCCCGATCTACTGAGCCGACCTTTGACAGTCTCATTGTCACAGGTCGGATAGAACTATGAGGTGAGTGAAAAGCCCCTCCCCCTCATAGTTCTCCTTTAAAGCCCCAGCGATGCCCCAGAATTTAAAATGCAGTCCAACCATCCGACCCAAAAGACGGCTCTCGGCTGTTGACAATCCTTTTCTATGCTGGAGATCAATGTAAACATTTTACCCAAATTTTAGGAAAGTCAAGACTCTCAGTTTTTCTCCTAATTTTCCTCATCTTTAAAGTCTCAGTGAAATCCCACAATTGGATACGCAGTCCGATGATCGTTGTACCGGAAGAGCCTTCAATGCCTTTCAGCAAAAAATGTTGTGAAAATCTCCCAATTTTCCTAAATTTTAATTAAGAAATAACAATTTTTGCAAATTGATTCAAGTAAATGAAAATTTTCCGTCTCGCCCCAATTTTTTTTTTAATGATGAGTTTGAACTCTCTTTTATTCCTGAACGCGATCCCTTCCCCCGCACTGGATGTATGAAGACTTTTTCTTTTTTTTGTGGTCTCATCACATAATCCCGAGACGACGCGCGACACCCAAACAGTGCAGGCCGAAGCCTCCGCGGCAGTGATGATATCGGCCTTGTGTGTCCTGCGCTGATTCTCAGCAATTATTCCCGGGAGCGGCTGACGAGATCTTCTACCCATTAGGAGATAAAACCTCCTGACCAAGGCGAGGGTCGTCCTCCCCGCGGCGGGAGAGTCTGTCTAGACGCAACACCAGCGACCGCTCGGGAAACATTCGCGCTAATCTGTCATCGGGTTCAGTCTGCAGACTGTGTGCGGAGACTCAGAGTGCTAGGCTCGTCCCTGTGAGTGTTTTTATCTCGGCGGCCCCGCGGAGTGTGCTGACCTCGGGGTGACAATAAAGTTATTCGGAGAGGAAACGCACAACGACTGCTCGACCAATGCTTCATACGAGCGCTACATCAGCGACACGCGTGTAAGTCTGTTCCTGGGGCCCCGCACTGCACGCATACCGGGGACTAACCAAACTACCCACAATCCCTCTCTGAACCCCGACCTGGAGGACTGGTGTCGCTATACATGAGACTGCTGACAATGCCTTTATCTGCTTTTACCTCCAGAAGGACGGCGCCATCTTTGTTCACCCATCACCCAGTGTCACCATCTACTTCCTGCTCAGAGATGACACAATCATGGAAATCCTGGTGTCTGTTCTTGGCTGCGAAAAAAACTTCAAAAACAGGATGTCTTGCTGCACTCCTAACCAGAGTAACCCCAAGCTGGGTGGGTGCTTGTAGTGACCACGGAAGGCACCGTGTGAATCACAGAATAAAGGAATAATGTCACCAGCACACCAGTTTTTGTTAGTCAATGATCCATTTTAATGGCACATTGCCATCCAATACACAAGCGCTTTCGGGGCCGCAGGGGGTCCCCTTCATCAGGCTCAGAATGACACTTCAATAACAGATACATCAACCTTATATAGGCATCAAACAGTGAGAGAAAAAAACAATAAACCACTCCCATACATAATGACATCACTGGATCCATTCCCGCCACAATAGATTCAAAAATTCGAAAACCACCACCAACCTTAAGCATTGCAGCTGTACCAGGGGAGGGGAGACTGAGGAAATGCTTCCTCCTGGCTGCAGCAGACTGATGACTGGGGAGGGGAGATTGTGAAAATGCTATCTCCTGCCTGCAGCAGACTAATCACTGGGGGAGGGGAGACCAAGGAAAATGCTTCTTCCTGCCTGCAGCAGACTAATCACTGGGGGAGGGAACACTGAGGAAATGCTTCCTCCTGGCTGCAGCAGACTGATCACTGGGGAGGGGAGACTGAAGATGAGATCATCTCAGGCAAAATTACTGATTGGAGCTCAAAATTTTTATTGACAAATGGTGGGGCTTATGTGATAAAAGGCGGAGCTTGCCTGATAAGTGATGTACATTGTGACACGTCAGGATATATAAATGACTATAAAGCCGACCTCCGCCCTGCAGCAGTATATACTGTATACTAGGGATTCACCGATACCGAGTAGTACTCGCCCGAATGCTCCGATGCCTAGCAACCAATACTTCCTGTGTCATAATGCCGGTCGCTGCGTCATTACACGCTGCCCAGATTCCTGATTGGAGACGAGAGAGCATGGAGCCGACTTCCCGGCCAATCAGGAAGCCGGGCAGCGTGTAATGACGCAGCGACCGGAATTCTGATTGGCTAGCAAGCCGGCTCCGTGTTCTCTCGTCACCTAGTGACGAGAAGCATGGGGAAGGCTTTCTTGTTAATCGGGAAGCCGGGCGGCGAGTCATTACACGCCACCTGGCTTCCGCAATGCGACAAGAAAAAAGTATCGGTGTTCATACTCGGTACCGAAAACACAATATCGGTCCATTTTTATTAAACATTCTAATAAATAATCTTACGGGCCGGCGAGCGATCGGAGTGATTTGATTGACTCTTTAATACTAATATCATTTTGATGATGCAGGATGCTGTCAGCGTGTCCTCACCTCATTACCGCGGGGCGGAGGGGCCGAGCCGCCGCCGCCGCGAGGTGTAAATACCGAGTGATATATCTGAGTAATAATAACGTGCGTCGGAGGAGTCGAGATATTTTCTCTGCCGCTGACATTTGGCGAGGAGGACTTTTCAATTTCCTTCTCTATTAATTACCTCCATCGGTGTGTGCGCGCGCGGCCTCCTCAGGAGGCTCGTCCTCGCCGCCGATCTCCCGCCTGACCGAATGGCGCAATTTATTCCCAAGCTAGCCGAGGTAGGAGGATGGAAGAGCCTGCAACATATCATCATCATCATCATCATCATCCTGTACAAGGTCATAATGAGTATAAGGGGACAACAATTGTCTGCTGGCAGCACTGACACCGGAAACCCCACAGCAGTCCTCCAGCAGAGCAGAGTATTCTCGGGAGAGGAGAGTTATAGAGGAAGGAGCAGAGTCCTCTGTATCAGTCTCGTTCTCTGTGTCTTTGGACGTTGGCGGGTCAGAGTCGTTCCCCGGAATCTCTGCTCATTGACACATTGTGTCTCGTGTTCCCTTCCTCCGATGATGATAATATTAATAACATTCAGCGTTCTGAGCGGCCTGCGCTGTGATCTTGGCGAAGGTTATGCATGATGCAGCACAGAGACGGTGCAGACGTCCAGTCACCCTCCGGAGGCAGATTGCACACGTCTCAGCCCGGCAGACAGAAGCCTCCTTTAGCAGCAGAAGTGCTGTCTGTGCAGTCAGAGCAGATGCCCCATATGGAGGCGGAGGTCCCCTCATTTGTTTGGTATCTCGGGGCTGACAGCGGCACATCTGTACCTGGTCAGGTGCTTGATTACCAGCGCGCCTCTAACAAGCACGGCGCCGTGCCGCGGAGCGCCGCAATCTGCGGCTCACTGAGCAGAAACACAGACGAAAGCTTTTCCTGAGAGAGAGAGAGAGAGATCGCCTCCCGGAATTATTAACCTTTTACTGCAGCACTCGGCTTCAAGTCCCTCTTATGACGGCCTCGCGTGGCGACGGTTTTATTTCCCGTGACTCCGCCGCAAACTCACCCCCTGCGTCATTCTGAATGACATTAAACGGTAAACAGGAAATCGGTTGTAACAGATATAAAAAAAGAACTTCTCATTAAACTGTAACGGAGATAGAAAAAGATTTCACACGTGTTTTTTTTATACATTGTTACGAGACTACAAAGTATATCTAAAAGTTTATAAAGAATATAAGTTATGAACGCCATCCTTTGATGTAATCATTCCAAAATAGGGCATAATAATAAGAAAGAACATTACATTATGTATAACTCTATCAAGTTACATTGTATTACATACACTATATTGCCAAAAGTATTGGGACGCCTTTACACACACATGAACTTTAATGGCATCCCAGTCTTAGTCCGTAGGGTTCAGTATTGGGTTGGCTCCGCCCTCTAATGGCATCCCAGTTTTAGTCCGTAGGGTTCAGTATTGGGTTGGTTCCGCCCTTTGCCGCTATAACAGCTCCGCCTCTTCTGGGAAGGCGTCCACAAGATTTAGGAGTGTGTCTATGGGAATGTTGGACCATTTGTGAGGTCAGGTACTGATGTTGGGGGAGAAGGCCGGGCTCGCAGTCTCCGCTCTAATTCATCCCAAAGGTGTTCTATGGGGTTGAGGTCAGGACTCTGTGCGGCCAGTCACGTTCCTCCACCCCAAACTCCCCAGCCCCCGGCTTTGTCCTTGTGCAGGGTAACTGGTCTTGTCTCCGCCCCCTCCTGTAATAAAGACTGATCACTTCTACTCTCTCTCTTTGTGCAAGGTGACTGGTCTTGTCTCCGTCTCCTCCTGTATTAAGACCGCTCTCTCAAATTGTGCAGGGTGACTGGTCTCCTCTCCGCCCCCTCCTGTTTTTTCCTGTAGTGGGCGGGGCTTGCTGGGCTTCTCCCACATCTCTGCTCTGTGCACAAGCTATGGACAGCACAGGCTATGGACAGCACAGTGATGATGCCACTGCTACTTTTTGCACGGTAATATCTGGGTTCGCAAAGCCATTTGGTGCGCACAAAGTGGATTTATATATCCAAGTGAAAATTCCTGCTCGGCTTTACCTCGGCTCAGAGCGCGCACCTTTAATTCCTGCCATCGGAAGCGCTCTGTATGATCCAGGTGTGAAATGCTCTCATCCTTTCCTCTATCTGGGATTTAATGTCGGAGAATACCGGAAAGCAATAAAAGCTCGTTGTGATAATTCATTAATTGCGCTGGCAATTAAGCA